AAAAAAAAAAAATTGTATTTATTAAAAATGTAATTAATGTAAAGTAATATAAGTTTATTAATAAGACTAATAAAAACCACTAGCACTACTGCAATTAGCTTACTGCCGCGTGGGCGGGGACGTCATGCATTCGTAAATGTTCTACAGTCGGTGGCGCTGTGGGCTGGGTCGTTCCGTTCCCTACGAAATGGTTGATCGGACCGATTGCTGGCCTACACGTCATACCCGTGAACGGGTGCCTTCTGCTGGAACAGGTCGGCTCGCTCATCGTGCTGGTGGGCTGATTCAGTAGGGTTAGTCTAAGATAATAAGACTATAATAATTAGGCAACAACATAAAGTATTGTGTGTAGTACAGTGGTAGGCGTAGCGTGTAAGATCTTTATAAAAAAAAAAAAATATTTGACCATAGAAAGTATGTACTTGTAATATGACAAGGGCACGGACACGAGTCCGTGGAGAAATTCAATTTTTTATTTATAAAAAAAAAAACCCGTACACCAAATGCGGTCCTCACTTTTTGCATACTTAACTGCACCTAGCGCCTGGAGTGCCATAGTAAATTTTGGGTTCGTCGAACGTTATATTGAGCTGCATCAGGGATTGTATTTTTTGCTGGTCACAAATAACCTGCATACCATACTCGGCTACAAAGCCTCAAACACAGGCGCAAAGTCGCAAGCCTTTCGGTCTTCTATCGGATACATTTCGGTGAGTGGGCGTGGGAATTGCACAAACTTATTCCCCCTAGTCCATTTCACCACCGTACCTCCAGACGAACGGCGGGGCGCCACCCTTATATGGTGGATATTCCACCCATTGGCACGAAGCGTTTCGCGTCAAGCTTCCTCATGCGAACCGCTAAGGAATAGAATTCCTTGCTACAGGCTGTGTTTCCCGTCAAATATTACTTGGGTGTCTTCAAGTCCCGAGTGAACAGGTTGCTCATAGGTAGGCGTGTTCCATCGTCGGCCACATCATTGCTTACCATCAGGCGAGATGGTGGTCAAACGTAGACCTATAAAGTATAAAAAAACCAACTACCTTTACACCTTAAAAAATGCAAAATGCTCCAAACGCATGATTCAGGGAACTGCGATATCAAAGAGACGAAAGGTAGCCTATGTTACTCTTCATCCTGTCAACTATCTCCACTCGAAAAATCCTTTTAGCTCCGTTCTGCCGTGAAAGACGGACAAACAAATCAACACACAAAGGAGAGGGGGACTTCTGGGCTCAGCAGTTAACTACGTGAAATATGTCTCAAAAAACCGGTACATTTTTCTAAACAAAATTACAAAATATGGTACCAGGATTCTACCCAGGAAGCGAGAAAACTTAAATTAAGATAATAAGACTAAATGATCGATTAAATAAGCCCTAGTAATCGATTATTAATAAATCGCTAAAATCTGAGAATATTTGGCTGATCTTTTTTTTTTGTTGTGTTTGTTATTGTCAAGAGAGCGCTTGCTCGCTTGATTGCGCGTACGAAGTTGCGGGTAGAAGCTAATATGTATATGAATATCAATTCATTAAGGTTTCGTGAAATCGATTTAATCGATTATAGTGTATTTTTTTTCTAACAACCCTTGTGCTTGCGTTTGATTGACAATGACTAACAGATGTACTTGTTTGTTTACTTTCATTCTGAGTGCGCACGTATTTTCCTTATTTTATATTGTTTAAACCCACGACCTCGGCTTTGCATAATTATTATAACGGACTAAACGACGGATCTTGCTACTCTGAATTACCTGACTCTCTATTTTGGACAACTGTTAACCTTATCAATTGGATATCGACGACATGGATCGCTGTATAAATTGTATGATTGCGATTGGTCGCAGTAATCCTATTGGGAGAAAAGTCTTGGAGAATGAGGTGATTTTAACAGTTATTCGTCAGTGGCAAAGTGAGTGATTCAAAAGTATTTCAGAAATTACACAAAAAATCACAATGTTATTCTATAACCTAACTTTTACTATAATTCAGATAACTTGGTTTCTAGGAAGCCAAATTTCACCAAATTCTCCGTTAAGCCTTGATATTATATCCTACATATAAGGCTAATTTCTTTTAGTTAACACCTGGGCCCAGAAATCTATGGAGCCATTCCCTTCTCCTTTATAATATTAGTATGTCATCTGACATTTGCTTGACAAGTGAGTTTACAAAGCCAATTTAGCATAGTTTTATATACCTTGGCTAAGACTAATTAAAAAACTCAATTTCTACCAGAAGCTGTATGTAAAATAAAATAATATAAAATAAAGCACGACCTTATGTTACAAACCTTTATTTAAAGAATAAGGAAAACAAGCAGAAAATGTAGTAAATAACACAATATGCAAACTTAAACAGACAATAAAAATATAGAGGCAATACAATAAAAGTTATGATTTTTAAAATCATTTGCTTTTTGCGTCCGTATAAGGTACCGCTTAATCCATCTTTTACAAAGTACTTCCTCAGGCCTAGACACAATGTTAATATGTACTCAGTCCAGTCTATGTTTGTCACATCAAAATTAAAAATCTCTCTATCATCTTTCGACAAACTGTCAAAGAGCGCTGATGTATTTCGGTCATCAAATTTCCACTGGTGTGTTAAAAAATGAGATAAAACTATTGTCATTTTGCTCATCTTTTGAGCTAAATTTCCGAATCTGAAATTTAAAATAATGTTTATTGGTGACGGGTCGGCGTTTGGCCATTATCTCACCGGATAGTAAGTGTTCCGTTCTATAATAGAGCACACGAGCCCATAAGCTAAGTTTAATCGAAACTTAGCAAACTAAAATTAATTCACTTTTCAAATTATCTGTTATATATAATGCCACAAATTATATCATAACATCACGCCTTTTTATCCCCGAGAAGATCCTCGGGGATAATGTATAAAATGCGTGATGTATAAAAAGGCACCTCTGCCTACCTAGGCAGAGATGCATATTATGGCACTTAATGCCACTATATAATGTAACACCCACTTTTCACTATTTATGTTATGAGTCCCATGTAATAGGGGATGAGCCTATTGCCATATACCGAACACAATTCCAGGCTCTGTGCTACTACTGAGAGTTTTAATAATCCAGTAATACTTTGCTCGACCCGGGAATCGAACCCGAAACCCCTTGCCCGGCAGTCGCACTTGCGACCACTCGGCCAACAATTTAAGGTAAGGAGGCCACAAATTATTTATAATACAAAATGCGGTCCTGTGTAATAAAGTGTTAAAATGTGGAAGAGCCATGCTTCACTAATGGTGCGACTCGACGGGAGTGATACCACGGCCTTCAAAAAACCGATGTGAAACAACGCTTGCGTTATGTTTCGTCGTATGAGTAAGGTTAACGGAGGCTCAATTACCCCTCCGTTCCCCAATCTCCTGTCTATCTGAATCTCCAAAAAACCTTCAAATTCCTAGTCCCTAAAAGACCGGTGATGCACTCGTAACGCCTCTGGTGTTCAGGGTGTCCATGGGCGACGCCAATTGCTTACTGGTGATCTATCTATTCGTTTACCGGCTTATCCCATAAAAGTAAGAATAAAGGTCATTAATAACATAATTTTACCTTCTTTTCTTTCCAAAGAGAAGAAGTATTGTATCCACAATATATGCAGGAATGAGATGAAGAAGCCAAGCGTAGATCCAGTATAGTAATCGTACAGACGTGCACCATGCAAAAGTGTAGGATACGGCTTTTGGCGTTGGATAATATCTTGCTTTATTGGCTAAAATTTCTTGAACACCACCTTGGAAAGATCAATTGAAAAGACAACATGATATAGTTTTATATTATAATTCTAAAAAACTTTTCATATATCTCTATATATCTATATATAATATGTCTATAAACACTCTTGTTTGGTGCATCATGTGCTAAGTTGAAATGGTCGACCTTGGGCCTTGATTAACAATCTTATCTAATTCAGAAAGTTAGCAAGAGGATGGCCAGGAGAACTGACTGAGGAAGTTCGAAGATCCCGGGCATTTATTCTTTTCATTTTGTAGTCATATAAACAGCTGTCACATGTAACAGCTTTAAATCAAAACAAGGTGATTAATGTCACTAATTTTGTATTTAAATGTACTCTTGAAAAATATACATGAAAATAAAATCTAAATTTAGAGTCTACGCCTTATACTTTTTTAATACGATTTGAATGTAAAATTTGGGTGATTTTGTAATAAAACGTCAATAAAAAATCCACAGGGCATGAGGAGTATTAACTCGTCGAGTACCGTCATTATAGACACAATTATACCTCTAGAACAATAGGTTGCGGTCACCGGTGACCGCTTGGTGTTTGACAGTTTAAGGGGCCAAAATGGCTATTAGATGACCTCTTCTGTCAACCATTTCAATATGGTACATGGTTAACCAAACACTCTGTATTATTAATTTAATAAAAAACAGTATTCAATTTTTGATCAACTAATGGGTTAAAAAAATATTTGTATAAAATTATATCTTACTCCAAGTTATTGGATTTTTAGCAGCCGAAGCGATTGCATAAATCTTTATTTCATCTTTTTGCGGTGTTGGACTTTTATTCCGAGCTGTTTCCCATGCAGCAACAAGTATGGTGTTATTTACATAGTCCACGGGAATGAAATCCACTTGATTTGTATGTTTACCATAAGCTGTGTGCGCCACCCCTAACCCAACAGCGTACAAATACTGAAAATTAGTCATTAGATTAGTTGCCATTTTTAAGGCAGCGTATGCGAATTTAAATTCAAGTGTCCTACGATATCTTGCGTGTATACAAAAATTGTGGTGTAAATATTAGCACCCTCTGTCTCGGAATCATGTACCCAACAGCATGTGGTACGGCGTTATCCACTCTGTTCATCTCGGTGGCTTCAGAAAAGACGGTAACATAGTGATTACGTGTTGCCGTACAATTACTGCACAGCGAGATCCAAGGAAGACGCACGTTTCCCTCGGTGCACTATGGGGGCTCTGGGGCAGGTCTGCTAGAGGACCCGGTGTCCCTTATAGGGTGACCACCGAGGTGGTTTTAGTGAGGTTAAAATCACACTCTCACCCACATAGTCTTTCTCTCCAAAAAGCTTGAAGCCTTCCGAATGTCTCTCCCGTCATCAAAAAAATGAGGTATATATATAAAAATAAAACCCGTTTCCCATTGTCACGCCATTACTTACTTGAGAATGGCTAGATTTGGTTTGGCTGATCTTTTTTTTTGTTGTGTTTGTTATTGTCAGGAGAAGGTTCTTTAGATAAAAAAAACCTGAAAATCCCACGGGAACGGGAGAAAACGGGATTGCGCGTACGAAGTCGCGGGCAGAAGCTAGTAAATAATAATAAAAAAGGTGAAATCACTAAGGAGACTTTGTGATGTCCTTATTGAATTTGGTAATGTTTCACCCAGGTGATAATTGCCTAGAAAAATGAAATGATGAAGAGAATGTTAGGATTTTTTTTAAGGGGGTAAAATCATCGAATGACTGCTCCCGCTTGGGTGAGGCGGGAGGGAGTGTCAGACTCTTACTGACTAAAAACCACCCTGTTCCTTCTCCTACACGTCGAGCCGGAGCCCCGTTAGGTTCTCCGCGACTAGAATTCTACGACTTAAGTTTTTACCTTTGTTCACCCAGGTACACTTAGGTAAAATTTTCATAGCTAAATGATGTAGCGCTCGACATGAAACATGTGATTAGGTTAGAACTAATTAACGCGTGAGGCGAGCATAGCGCGACTGCGATCGCCGACCTACTGCTACTTCAGTTCAGGTGTACTAAGCCGTACAAATCTGAGGACTAACAAATGTGTCGACTGTTTTGCCAAACTTGAACTTAGAGTGAGCGTGTCATACTATAATACGTACTCCACTGGCTCCATAGATGCAAGATAAATCTATCCACCCTGGGTTTGGCTCTCGTATTGCGCACGCCACTGAAACAGAACATTGACTAGTTTTATTCACAGTTTTAACAAACTACTAAAGCCTTCATACATACATTTTTATTGTTTCCAATATAATAAAACTATTATTTTATTATATTGGAAACAATAAAAACACTTACCGATTGCTGGTCTGACTACACATATCGGGAGATCTTTGCCCATCGTGTCAACTAACCCTTCAGCGACCGCTTTTGTGAATGTATACGTGTTAGGCCAACCTTTTATCAGACTGGAAACAAAATACTGATGATACTTTTCTCGTAATTTAACATTATTAATCAAAATCATATCTGAATGGAAAATTATATCTCCTTGCTGGTCATACAGATTTTTACTCGCAGATAACAACTGATCTACGTTAAATTCTCTGCTGTTGCCAAAATTGACTTCGTTGCCAGTGAATGTATGATAGTGTTATTATAATAAAGTTTAAGCGCTTCTCCGTGTGAGAAGACGTCTTTGGTCAGCGGTAGCCACTTATAGACTATCGACGTGACTTGGCATGAATGACAATGATGATATCATTATGATCACCATCAAAATCTGTATTATGACAATTATTATTTTCATCACAGTCTCAAACTCACTTGGTTGTTATGTTGTTTATTCTCTCTTCATCCATAGATTCAGCTACACCGATCATGACTTTAGAATCTATTGGAGTTGTATAGAATTTTTCCAATATTTCACCGTTTACATATTCATCGCGGGCTTGAGAAAAAGCTGTTGATACGTAAACAAATGACCTATAAGAAAATAAATACTATAAATAAATTAACGACTAATATTATTAATTTGACGGCGATAATACTTAATTATGTTTGAATACAAACCTTAATTTTTCACTTGCTTTCCCTAAAGCAAGTATTTCTCTTGTACCACGAATATTGATAAAAGTAGCTTTCTTAAGTAATTCGTCAAACCTTGTCGTAGCAGCCAAATGGAATATTATATTCACCTGCATATTAAAGTTGTATTAGATAAATATTTTCGTTTTAGGTATTCATGAACAAAGTCCTGGTCCGATTTCAATAATTCTTTTAGTGTTGGACAGAAAACTTATCGAGGGCAGTTATAGACTCTAAAACATTACGCTACAGTCAATAGGAGCCGGGCAGAGCGGGTGAACCGCGCCGGATTCGCAATCTACACATATAATGTACTAGCTACTTCCGCGCGGACGCTCTGCTCAGCTCCTATTGGTCTTAGCATGATGTTTTATAGCCTCTAGCCATCCTCGATAAATGTGCTATCCAACACAAAAATAATTATTCAAATCAGACTTGTAGTAACGGAGATTAGCGCGTTCAAACAAACAAACAGAAAACAATCTCTTTCGCTTTATATAATAGTACAAGATGTATAAGATTATAAACATAATAATTATCGCATAGATTTATTTTATAACCAACCTCATCAGTAATGGTGTTCCAGTCTTTGTCACTCAAGCCAAGCTTTAGTTCCGACACGTCTCCTGACACAGCAACTATTTTGTCAACAAATTCTGGCTGATCTTCCCAAAGAGTGTCATATAACTAAAATAATAACACCGTTAATATATCTACTTACAATGAGACACTAAAAATATCATGTAAAATTACTTAGATACAATTTATTAAATTATGACTTACAGGATCTTTCAACATTTCCACTAGCCTCTGCTCAATAGATTTACCTTTCTTGGATCGCAGTAACACATATATTTTTGCGATTTTAGTAGCTCTGCGAATTATATTCAAAATTATTTCATAAACAAAAAATGAAAAAAAATTATATTCTAAAATTATCTGGTTAAACTGGTTCAGCCTACTCATGAGTCGAACTAAACTTTGCTTTAGTTTTTACGTTAGGATCATGCTATCAAGAAGGTAGTCAAGGAATTGTTCTTTGAAACTTACCTAAAAAGTTTTTCAATGAGGTGTTTGCCCAGAAATCCAGATCCTCCAGTCAAGAACACGGTAGCTCCGCAGTAAAACTGCTGCACGCTGGACGTTCCACGAGCAGTTATGTCATGCAACGGCTTGTACCGGTCAGATATCTTCGCCATGAAAGCTTGTGCGGGATCCAATGCTTCCGTTGCCATAGTTTGCCAACTATAAATATACGGATAACTATAAACATTTAATATTACTTTTTATTATTAGTTTAGTCAGAGATATTGTTCGTATTGTACAGTAATTTTAGTTATGTTTTAAAAAATAAATAGTTTTGGTTCAAAAAAATAACATTAAAACAGAGCTCCGATTTTGAATCTTGCACCAATCAATACTTTATTAATAAAAACCATTGAAATCTTTTATGACCACTTATATCAAGAAATTTATATTTAATTTTAAAATCTTATTTATTTTATTAAAAATAAAACTCACTTAATTTAAAAATGTACACGACAATGTTGATCCGCTTTAACACTAGTTATCAATGAAATTTAACAAACGAACTATGCAGTGTACTGTCCAATAAATTTGTTATATATTATGTTGTTTAAAGTAATTACTTATTCATGGAAAAAACCTAATGTTTTACATTCAACATGCGCTACTAGTAAATTATATAACATTGATTAATTCTATTTAACATCGATACATAATATTAAATTTAAATGTGCTGTTATTTTGTTGTAACTATTATTTGTAACTGCACTATACCTCGTGTGTTCACAAGTTTTGAGACAAATTAAAAGTTGCATATCTTTTTAAATAATAAACTTATATTTATAAAAACAATAACAAACATTAAGTAGATAGTAAGTAACAATTAAATATAATTATTATTCAAAATGACCACCCCTGTTTTTAATACATGCCCTTAGACGATTTGGCTAGTCATCAATGGCGGCACGAATCTTTTCCAGAGGAATTCGCTTCGCTTCTCGGACAAGAGCTCGCTTAAGTGACTCCAAGTTTGGGTGGGACTTTCGGCAGGCTCTGAGCTCTAATTCGGTCCATAGAGAATAATCCAGCGGGTTGAGGTCGGGGCTGGAGGAGGGCCATTCGTTCGCCGCAATGAAGGCCGGCACATTTTCCTTCAGCCAAGCTTGGGTGGTTTTAGCCTTATGGGATGGCGCCGAGTCTTGCTGGAAAACCCAATACTTGTTATGGAATAGGGTATTAGACAGGGGTTTCACAACAGTCTCTAGAATGTCACTTTGATAATTTTTGGCTTTCACCTTGACGCCTTGTTGGCAGAAATGAAGCTGAGTGACACCTTCGTACGAAACTCCCCACCATACCATGACACTAGCCGGATGATGAGTACGCGAGACATTCCGTGCTGAAGGTGGGACATCCTTGCTACTTTTGGCATACACTTTATTGTTTTGTCGATTGAACTTTTCTTCGACGGTAAAGATTTTCTCGTCGGTGAAGAGTATCTTCCTCGCATCGTGTCTCCTAAGCAGTATTGGACAACGTTCGCGTCGCAATTGACGAAGGCGATCGTTTAAAAAGTGTACTTTTCTACGGCTATACGCCTTAACCTTGAGATCATATTTCAGTATTCTGTTGACTGAAACGCGCGAAATATTGGTCTGCAGAGCGAGTTTCTTCTGAGTGCGACATGGATTTCGGCGAAGTCGCTCTCGGATGATTTTAATGTTCGCAGGCGTCCTCACAGAGCGTGGACGACCACTTCTTTGCCGATCATGTAAAGAACTTGTCTCCTGGTATCGTTTAATAGTGTAATACACGAAGTTACGGCTCACACCAAAACTTTTCAGTTCTCGGAAAATGTCCATAGGTTTTCTTCCCACCTTAAATAATGAAATGACGGTCGCACGTAATTCTTTTGTTCCCTCCATTACGAGAAAATTTAAATAAAATAATCCGAAATCATAGATATTAAAAGTTAACATTCCAAATTCAAAATTAGAAAAAGAAATATACAGCAGCCAGTAATTTTTATTTTATTTTTATAAGCAAAAAGTTTGTCTCAAAACTTATGAACACACGAGGTATA